TTATATTTATATTTATATTTATATTTATATTTATGTATTTGGATGTTTATTTTCTTGTTTATTTGCGTCTAAAAAAGCTTGGTTTTCTACAATAAATTAAAAAGATTGTATTGCTTTACCTTGATTTAAGTTAACGGTTTGAATGAAGTAAACACTCATTTGTTCTCCTCGATTGCTTTATTTGCTTTATTATGTAAAAAGAAAGAAGTCAAAACATTTCAAAAAAAGTCTTAATTTTTAAAAATTTTTTTGCTAAATTTTGCTTTCTTCGGTTTTCAGGAAATAGTGGATACTTAGCTTGCTACAAATAGAATTTCGAGCCGAACGGCAAGTCTCACAGTTGTATTTTCGTTACAAAATTTGTTCTACAGCAACGTAATTGTCATCGGGGTTTTCAATCTGAAAATTTATTCTAATGATGAGTTAGAGTGGAAGCAGGCGAATAAACTCGGTGACAGTAAAATTTGAAAGTTCGTTTTACTGCTTTTTTTGGCCATTGACCACCTAAGCTCAGAAGAAATTTAATTGATAAATCAGAAAATTGAGCCAAGATTGCAGAGGTGACAAAGTGTAGTTGAAACTATTAGTGTTTTTTGTTGACAAAAACTAGTTTTTGCATTTCTGTAGCACGTTTGCTGCAAATACCAATTACTATTCCAATCCAAATCAAGGATTTTTTGACTGTATTAGTCTTGTTGCAAAAACTGCCTACTTTTCAAATTTGAGTCAGTGTCTAAATAAATGTTCTGCTTTCAGTTCGCTTGAACATTTACCGTCTTTACCAAGAAAGTGAACTTTTTGAAGGTGTCTTAATAAAAAAAAATCAATTACTTACGTGTTGACGTTGGGAATATTTAAAAAGGGACAATCACGTTACAAGTTTGCCTCACCGAGCAATGCAACACATCGAAATTTTTCACTTGCTTGCTGTAAAATGTTGCTTTGCTGTGTATCCCTCTGTCGAGTACACGAAACCCCTCAGAAACGTAAATAGATTCCTAATCAATGAAGTTTTGAAAGACCTTGAAAGCACAAAACTGGTGCTTGAGATATGGTTAGGAGGATCTTTATATCATTTTTATACTGATGCGGTCCAACACTCTACAAGCTGATAGCAATGGGATTTGGTTTCAGTTATCCAGTTTAGTTCTAGTAACGTACGTGTAAAAGCATTCTGTCTAAAAAAAAAGACGAACAGATCACATTGTGCTGGTACCATTTACAACCGATGAAAAGAAAACATAAGTTACAGCGAAGCAAATTGTAATACAGTAATTTTGGCTTAATTTGACCGAAAATAGGTTTCACCAAAAACTTTGTTTTGGGTTTCTTACTTAAAAAAAGTTGTTAAAAAAATTTATTAAGCAGTAAAATCAACAAATTCATTCTTATTTCTTAAATAATAAGGATTATGCTATGTAAGATGTAACAAAAACTAGTAGAAGTTGAAATTCCTAAATTCTTCTAGCTTTGCGGTTAACTTAGAAGTACACAGATTTGGCTCTACACAATTTTTTATAGAAAGGTGGTCAACAGGAAAATTAGGAATTCTGCGAAAATGTTCCACAGATTGCAAGCATGTCAATCTGGTGGTCTCACTTTAGCAAGATACTTATGTGTGTTGTTCGATTATACTTAAAATAATTATCGTTCTTAGTATGTGATGAACTGAGCGCTGAAAGTGGTCGCCTTTATTATTGTATTTCGATTTCTCGCCTTAGCAAACTGTTATTTTCAACACGGAAGGTTTCTTCATTGCAGTTTTTAGTCTGGACTGTGCCCTTTTCCTCTTCTTGCCTTATAACTCCGTTTCATCAATTTAACAAGCATTTTGTTAATATCGCCGTTGCTTCATTAGTTAACTTAGCGCTTTCAAACTGAAATTGTAAGAAACGATAAGTCTTTTTTATACTAGCTGCGTTAATTGAAAAGTCAAAGTTACAGTCAGTGTGAAAATTAGGAACAAAAAGGAATTTGTGACGCAGGATAATATGCAACTATAGCTGACTAGATTGTATAGTTAGTTTGTGTTTGTTCAACCAACATATCTATAGAAAAGTCAATTTTTACTGTTTTAGATTTCAATGTCTTTACCTGGTCCTTCAAGTCGTTCTCAGTCAGATAATCTTTCTGAAATTTCTGAAAAACTGCAGAATTTTTGGAAGAATAAGAAAAGCGAGATAGAAGAACTAACTCTGGTAATATTTTGCTGATTCAAATTTTGCTGGTTTAACTTTTGACAGAAGAAAATAGTACAAAAAGAAAAGGAACTTTTAGTTGATGCTATTATTCTTTTTAATTAACTATTAATCATCAAAAGTGATTTTTATTGTATTCTTACGGAACTCTTTGTTTACCGCAGTGATGTTACACAACTATACCACTATTATTTAAACTCAACTTCATTTCTATTTATATCATAACTCACTAGGTGTGCTTTCAGGAGAGACTAAGTACAGCAACAAGAACGCAAGAGTTGCCTTTAGCTCGCGTAAAAAAAGTTATGAAGATTGACGACCAAGTAAAACAGCAGGTATTCCTGCAATTCCGATAGTTTCTGCATACCGAAATTTTATGTTTTCGGCTTTATCAAACGTTATGACGTTATAGATGATCAGTACTGATGTACCTGTATTGATGTCTAAGGCCTGTGAAATTTTTTGTGAACATTTAACGCTAACAGCTTGGAAATTCACAGAAAAAGGAAAAAGGAAAACGCTTACTAAATCTGATGTTAGTCAGGCAGTGGCTTCGTAGGTTTTCTTTTATTTGCTGAAGACATTTCGGCGCATCAATAATGCTGAAACAAAGAACAACCCGCTAAACTTAACAATCAACTATTACTGTAATAAGGAAGAAAAGGTTAGGCAGACTAAGGCAAAATCAAGCAGCAGTGATAACTATTCTGCGTAGACGTATAGGGGTGATAGCTTGCAATGTGCTGCAGTCG